CCTGCCTGTAGGACGAGGCCGCGCTCACCTCTGAGGTCAAATCCCACTCCCAGGCTGCCCTGAGCACCCAGCCCTGCTGCCCTGCACCTCACAATTCTCCAGCGGCGCAGCGAAAGCCTGCCGGAGCTGCAGGGGAGCCACTGCCCACCCACAGTGGACGCGGGCTCCAAGCAGGTACCTCCCTAAAGGTGGACCCCCTGGCTCAGAGGCCACGTGGTCCACCTGGACTGTGCTCGTGTGCAGGTGACAGAGTCCGAATCACTGGGACTTTAGGTTCCGTCCCGTGGGGCTACACACAGCTCCAGCCCCACCAAGGGTTACTTCCTCACACCCATCCTGAGTGCATCTTTTGAGGGGGTTGGTCTGGTTTGGTTCTGTTTTGTTGTTGAGACAGGGTCACACTCTGTAGCCCAGGCTGGCCTTGAACTCACTGCAACCCCCCAGCCTCCCCTTGCCACGTGCTAGAATCACGAGTGTGCCCGGCACACCAGCTCCTGAGCGCACCTTGCAGTCTGCAGGCGTTCGATGCCACGGTCCGGACCCACATGTAGGCCTTGCCATTCTGCTCATTCCTGCCAGACATGCCATCTTCCTTCCATTCAACTAGACAAGGATGCTCTGGGACAGCCCTGGGCTCCAGGGCCCCACTAACAAGCCTGCGTTAAAGGTCTCCATCTGCACCCAAAGAGGCAAATCCGTGGGAGTCCAGGGAGCAATGGAAAGTCCAGGACCCCATCCCTGAAGGCCCGGTCCTGGAACCAGCTATGATTCGGAGAATACAGATGAGACAAGTGAGCTTAGATGTCCAGCAAGCTGTCAAGGTCACAGAGCAGCAGCCAAGGCCAAGAGTCACCCAGGACTCTCCGAGCCTGGAGCCAGGGCCCTGGCCAGCGGCCTGCACGGCTCCTATACGGGCCCAGTGTGGTGTTCCGGCCAGGAGAGGGAGGACCGGCCTGTGAGTACACAGAACACTCCTTCTCCCGGACCCAAAGGTGGTCCTGTTTTCCCACTGTGTGGATGAGGAAATAGAGCCTCCAGCCCCACCCCAGTGGCAGGGGAATTTGCCTAAGGGTTTCATCTCCCTGAAAGCAAGGTGCAGAAATCCCCCCGTGTTGGAAACAGATTCTGAGCAATAGCTGAAATTATTGAGCATCAAGCTGGTCTAGGGACAATATCCCTCGTCCGTATCGCAGGTGCTCAGAGACCCGCATGGGCGAGGGCCTGGTCCAAGAAGAGGAAACAATCCTCGCATCAGAGGGGGATGCAGGCCAGGGAATGGCTTGGGGTCTGCTTCCCGGGAAAAGAAGCCACAGGTCCTGGCCCAGCAACTCCCTGGGCACAGGGCACTGGGTGACAGCCTCAGACTGCTGACACAGGAGTCCCCTGACTCACCCCAGGTCCCCAAAGCGGGATGCTGCACCTCAGTTTCCCCACTACAAGCCTCAGTTTCCCCACCCTGGAGGCCTCCCTGCTGGGACGGGTGGAAGCGCTGACCCACTGGGGAACTCCCTTGCAGGACTGTGAGTGCCCACGCATCTCCGCTGGGGATCTCCTGGGGTCAGCCACTTCGGTGCTGGCCCTGGGGACCCAAAGCTCCAAGGCCAGACAGTTCCCTCTGGTCAGGTGGGGAGGACGGGAAAGCTTACTTACGTAACCCGCCCCATTATCTTCTCGACCTTTGCTCCAGCCTGCAGGGCTTAGGAAAGGCAGCCTCATTGGCTGAGCGGGAAGCCAGCGCAGAAAAGACCTATTCAGGGCACAGGAGCTCGGCCTCTTTTAAAGGCCCAGACCCCACACACACATCCCCTCCCTTCTAAACCAACAGAAACACAAGCTGGAGAACAAACGCAGCTTATTTTGAGAGGCACAAAATTTTAACCCAAACTTAAAAAGTAAATGGTGTCTATTCACAGGAGGTTCAGGGAGGTTCTGGTTTCTCCCGGTGAGCCACAGGGGAGCAGGGGGAGGGGGACACACCCAGGGGCCAGGGGTGCGCCAGGGCTCCTGCGGTGGGGGAGGGGCGGGCAGAGAAGCCGCTGAAAGTCCTTTTGTTTGACAATCACATCAGTTCCAGGGGGAAACCTAAATTTGCCATGTTTGTGCTGTCTTAGGGTGCAGCACTAGACTGAGGCAAAGAGCAAGCACCTAGACCAGACCTCCAGTCTAACAGTCCCCGAGAGAGCCCAATTTGCATACCCATTCACAGGCCCGCCAGGCCTGGCCTCGGCGGCTGAGGACTGCCTAGAATACAGATGGCGCCTCCCACCTCGGCCACAGGAGGGGACAGCCCCGCGGAGGGCAGCAGGGCCACCGTGCCCGGCTCAGCCGCAGGTGCAGCCGCAGCGCAGCTCCGGGCTGCGCACTTTCAGGCAAGCTGTCCAACAGCAAGCAGAGTTCTGGAGGGAACCAGAAGTGTGCTTGGCAAGCCAGAAGAGGCTGCAACCGTGGAGACCCACTGTGTGCAGACGCCAAGCTCGAGGGCCGCGTGTGGGCCGAGGGACTCTCATGTTCAGCCCCACCCTACAAAAGGGGGTAGAGGGACGCCCCGCAGAGTTAACCCCCTGACCCAGAATCCATGGAGGTGTCAGGATTCAAGTCAAGGCAGCCTAACTCTCTGGGTAACAGGGTTATCAACCATCTATGTATTCAGGGGTCACTGATAAGACCTGACACTTCCCAGAACGGGAGGGAGAGGGCAAACCTGAGTCGGGAATCCAGAACAGGGAATTGCCTCTGTCCCCTGAATAACAGTAAAGGGAAAGTCCTAACAGGCCAGGGATGTAAGCCCACGATCCAAGCACAGAGGGCCTTGAGGGAGATCCTTCCCAGGACAGGCACTTCCGATGTCAGCTGCCTTCCCAAGCAAGGCTTGAAACCCCTTGAGCCTCTACTTGTCTGTCTATAAAGTGGGGATAACGCTGCCTCCTCAAAGTTCCCATGAGCTCGAACTCAAGAGCAGTACTGAGGTATCAGCCACACTGCACTCACTTAAAGCCACAGATCTCAGGGTTGAAAAGCCCAGTTTCTAAGAGCAGGCCCCTGCTTTACGTCCGGGCATTCCGCTCGTGTTGGTGGGAGGAAATCTCAAGGCCACCTGTGACTTTAACAGACAAAACAAAACAAGAAGGATCCCACCAATAACCAAAATCTGTAATGATAAAGCTGGCTTTTGACATCCTTCCCCCAAAGCAAAAGCTTTGCTGCTACAAAATCTGCCAGCAGACCAAGTGGACTTGGGACTTGTAGAATTCTGCAGAAAACCCAATACCTCTACCGTACCCACTGCCCGGCCGGTGGAAAAGCCCAGCCCTTGCCCAGACCGCTCCTGCATTATTCACTGCTACAGCTCAAACTCAGAGCCAGCCCTAGCCCTGCCGCCTAAAACTGCAGACAGGCTGACACTTGGGCACTTGGGCGCTCCCAGTGTCCTGCAGAGAATCACTCTCGCCAAGTACCGCTCGTGACGCAGCTGAAAACCAGCAACACTCCATTCTCTGCCCCATGACTGCAGCAATCCCCTCCTCCATATTGCATTTGGAGAAACCGAGGCCCAGAAAATGGGCCCTCCCAAGCCCCCAGAAAGGCAGGGTGCCATAGACAGGTGGGGTGCACCCCCAACAAATTAAGCCACCTGGCTCTGAGCTCCTGGGGCCAGCCTGAAGGAGCCCAGGGTGGGAAGCTGGGTGGAGGCAAAGTTGCAAAAAGAAACCTGAGTTGTAGCCATAGATTGCTAATCAGTAACAAAATATCCCTCCAAACCTGGGCCTGCCCTGAACTGACACAGACCCGGGAGGGTAAATAAGGGACAAACTGCAGCACTGCCCCCCATCTCCGTGGGTCCAGGGCCTACCCCTGCCTCCAACCCCAATATGCCTACTGGGGTCCCTCAGCCACCAAGCCAGAGAGGAAGTAGCCCTCCAAGGCTGGGGCTGTCTGGGAGAAGAGGAGTTACTTAAGGCCCAGATACATTGTCTCTGAATCAGAAACTGTTCTAAGCAGAACCAGACAGGTAAGGCAGGTAGTCCAGGCGGTGGCAACCCGAACTGGAAACGAGAGAAAGGAAGCAGCAGGGAGTAGAGTCACTAATCAGAGGACAGAGGACAGGGGACACTGAACAGGGGACGGGATGGGGAGAGACAGGCTGCTGGGCTCCTGCAGACCCCGGCTGGTGTCACCCTCTTCTTGCACAAGGCCAACAGACACCCAGGTGGGCGTGGAAGACGATGCTGCGCGTCTCTGAAGCCAACAGTCCTCCCACACACACCCTGGCCGCAGATGACCACAGCACTTCCTGTTCTGCCATCAGCAATTTACAAACCCTTTCAGGAGTGTTATCTCCACATCACACCCATGACGCCGGGATCACGGGCTCCAGTGCACAAATACAGAAACTGAGGCAAACCGAGGAAAAAGGCCAGACTCCATTCCAACCACTACATTATCCCTAGGGAAAAAAGTCCCTGAGCTGAAGCGCAGAGCGTATAGGAAACCAGGAAGCCCCTTGGCCCGGGTCCTCCGGCCCAGCTCTCTGCGCTCCTGCCCGCCGTGATAAGGCAAGGAGGAAGCCAGGCGGAATTCCACTCACAGCACACACGTGGACGCCACTTGGGCTGGGGGAGGGGGCGCCTGTTGCTCCAAGGAGGGGAAATTCACTTGCTCCCAAAGATTTTTTTTCCTCTCCCACAATAACTTCCCCTGCGGGGCAAGGATTCCCGGCTGGGATGAGGCGCCCCCAGCCAGCCCCGCAGGGCCAGCCGCCAACACCTACAACTCCCGCCGCGACAAACTTTTCTGGAGCTGCGCCCGGCTGCGGATTCTGAGCTGGACAGGGGCACGCGCCAACCCTAACCACGACACAACCCCAGGCTGGTGGTCGTGGGATGCCCCTGCCCCGCGAGCGAGGGGTACCCCTTAAGGTGAGGGCTGGTGCCTCCCACCACCACCACCACCACCCCCCCCCGGCTCTGCGCGGACCTCAGCGGGAGGAAGGGCGTCCTTACCGTGCAGGCCGTTGGGGATGCTGCGGTGGTGCGGAGGGGCAGACAGGTCGTCCAGGGACCGACGGGTGGCTCCCGCCTTGCCGTCCGGGGCCTTGTGCGGCCCAGGGGGCAGCAGCGCGGGGGGCACATGGTGGTGGTGGTCCGGGCTGCCGCCGCTGCCCGCACTCGACGTGCTGCTGCCGTCGCCCACGTCGCGGGCCCCTGAGCCCCCCGCCGCCGCCAGCGCCGCGCGCTCCTCGTCCAGCAGCAGCACCAGCTCCTTCAGCTCCAGGTTCTCGCGCAGCAGGGCCTCCTGGCGCGCCTCGAGCTCCCGCAGCTTCTGCTGCGAGCGGGCCACCTCGTGCCACACGGCGCCGGCCGCGTGGCGCCCGAAGCGCTGCCACTCGCGCGCCAGCTTGCGCCCCTTCTGCCGGTCGTCGTCGAGGAAGCAGCAGAGCTCGCGCAGTTCCTGGTTGTCGTCCTGCAGCCGCTGGTTCACGTCCTTGAGGCCGCGGATCTCCAGGAGGTGCTGCTGCAGCCGCCGGTTCACGTCGCGCATCAGGCCGCCGTGCTCCAGCATGAGGCCCACCTTCTCGCCCTCGGCGCGCCGCAGCCGCCGCGCCAGCTCCTCCTTGCTCCAGCGCAGCAGCTCCTCGTCCGGCACCTGGCTCAGCTCCTCCGCCGCCGCCGCCACAGCCGTGGCCG